GCTTCATCCTTTTAGAAGGAATATGGTTAATAACTCGTCTTTACACAAGCTTGCTGCTAAGTTATTTGGGCCTTTTAAGGTTGTTAAGAAGATTGGTGTCATTGCTTAGGAACTTGATTTACCCCAGGGACTAGAGTACATTTGGTTTTTTATGTTTTGCTTCTTAAAATCATGCTGGACCGGACATAAATGTAGCACCCTCATTACCTCCTATCGATGATCAAGGGCAATTTGTGCTGGAACCTGAAGAAATTCTAGGGTGTAAGATTACTAAGCACCATAATTTACCGGTGACACAAATATTAGTTCGCTAGAAATTTTCCCAAGTTGAAGATGCTTCTTGGGAGGATCTTTCTCTGATTCAACTGCAAGTTCCTCAATTTTAGACCATTGACCCTCCAAGCAATACCATCCTTGTGGACAAGGATCCTTTTCAAGGGAGGGAGTATTGATATACGCTATTTTATATATATTGTTAATATTTGATAGGATGAGGTTTTACAAAGGGTATTCTCATAAATAACTAGGGAGTTAGTTACAGGCTGAGAGAGAGATATATCTTGTACCTGCATTATTACCCTTTCTTTTGCCGAATGAGTTCTGCATTTTCTCTCTTTTCTGTTATCAATTCCTAGTGTCATTTAAAGCTACAGAAGCTGAAGCAGGGGTAGGTATGCTAGAATCTTTATACTTCATGCATTCGAGACCATTATAGTCTTTGTCCTAGCACTAGTAGCAAGTTACCACCTCGTGACCATAATTCTTGCAGAGTTGACACCAAGGTTTGTCTTGATTTCCAGACTTTGAACCTTGATGCCATAGTTTAAAACCTCCTCTACCATTTCATCTTTTGCTTCGTTCGCCTTGTCCTTGCCGTCAACGCCTTCCACTACTTTTTGAGTCCTATGTTTCAGACTTTACAACTACACTAGCAAAGGTGTTAGTTATTTTAGAAATAGTGGCATATTGGAGTAGCTCTAGTTGAGCTTCGAAAGTTAGTAGCTTAGAATGGAATTCAACCCAGCTAAGACTATCCTTGTCTGAGAGCAAACAACTAAGGTATTATACTCATCATCTAAACCAGATAAAACTTGTGAAATGGGATCTTCTGTAGCAAATGTGCTTCCCGTAAGGGTTAGTTTATCAGGCAAAGACTTCATTTTGGTCAAGTACTCCTCCATTTTCACTGATCCTTTCTTGGTGCACTAAAACTCCTGTGTTTTAACAATTGTACTTTGGACCTTGTGTTCGTGCCAACCATGTTCTTCCCTACTATCCATTGATCATGGGAGGTTTTGCATTGTGTCATTTGATATGGGGCTTCTATGGTCATCCTATCTTAGAGCCAATGGAAACAAATTTGATTAATGACCACCTACTCATCATAAGATTGGTTGGGAATGATATTGGCAGTTGAATCCAAGATAGTTGCATCCAAGATGTATTCTGGAGGAATGATGTTGGTGCCATGTAAGTGACCTTTGAGTTGATGTCCTCTTATCACCGAAACACAGAGAGACTCCCAACCAATAAAGTTGACCCCATTAAATTTGATCAAACTTTGTTGAGAGAGTTAGACTTCAGGATGATAAGAGGTGAGGATGAGGATGGCATTGTAGTGCCCGTATGGGAAGCAGGAGTAGTGTTAGTTATAATGTTGTGGGAAGCAGCAAGAGTGGGGACGGCAAAGAGGTTAGGCTTAGGTAGTGGAGCGAGATCAGCCTTAGGATTAGGATTGGGTTTTGTGTGTGGGATTCTGTGATGTGTGTCTGATAGCTCTGATACTACAACAACAACAAGCCTTATCCCACTAGGTGGGGTCAGCTACATGGATCACATGACGCCATCGTGTTCTGTCAACAACCCAGTCCTTAGATATGTTGTTGACTAGGAGGTCTCGTTCAATAACCTCATTAAGCGTTCTTCTTGGTCTTCCTCTATTCTTTTTTATGGGACTCCATCTTGTCTGATCCACCCTCCTCACCGGGGCCTCCAATGGCCTTCTCTGCATATGTCCAAACCATCTTAAGTGATTTTCAACTGTTTTCTCTTGGATAGGTGCCACACCGACTTTTGCTCTGATATTTTCATTTCGAATCCTATCTTTTCTTGTATGACCACACATCTATCTCAACATCCTCATTTTTGCTACCCCAACTTTGTGCTCTTGTTTTCCCTTTATTGCCCAACATTCACTATCATACAACATAGCCGGTCTTATAGCAGTTCGGTAAAATTTTCCTTTAAGTTTCTCAAGTACTTTCTTATCGCAAATAACTCCGGTAGCCTTCCTCCACTTTAACCAACCAGTTTGTATTCTATGAGAAACGTCTCCATCAAATTCCCCATCCTCCTGTATAATGCATCCTAGGTATTTAAACTTTGATACTTGAGGAATGATTTGCTCCCTCATCTTCACCTTCAAATCCCCATTGCCTTGTCTCCTCCCAAAATCACAATGCATATATTCTGTTTTTTGTTCCTGCTCAAGTGGAAACCTTTCGACTCCAAAGTCTTTCTCAATAACTCCAATCTAGTGTTAATCTCTTCTTTTGATTCCGCCATGAGAACTATATCAGCCGCGAAAAGCATGAACTTAGGGATTCTTTCTTGAATAGGTTCAGCTAGAACATTCAGAACAATGTTGAACAAGTACGGACTCAAAGAGGATCCCTGATGTAGACCAATCTGAATAGGGAAGTCCTTTGTCTCACCTCCAGGCATCTTTACACTGGTAGTTATCCCCTCATACATATCTTGTATGGCTTTGATATAAGCAACCCGTACACCTTTTTTTTCCAAAGCCTTCTACATTACTTCTCTTGGCACACGATCGTAAGCCTTTTCCAGGTCAATAAAGACCATATGTAAATCCCTTCTTTTACTTCTATATCTTTCCATTAACCCTCTTAGTAAATAGATTGCTTCCGAAGTGGATCTCCCTGGCATAAATCCAAATTGGTTTTCTGAAATAGAAGTCTCCAGCCTCAACCTATATTCCATCACTTTTTCCCACAACTTCATTGTATGACTCATAAGTCCCTTGTAGCTTGCACAGTTTTGAATGTCTCCTGTATTCTTGTAAATAGGAACTAAAATGCTTCTCCTCCACTCATTCGGTATATTCTTAGAGTGTAAAATTTCATTAAAAAGTTTGGTTAGCCACATCTCACCCTCATCTCCCAGACATTTCCAAAATTCAATAGGGGTACCATTGGGCCCTGATAGCTCTGATACTAAGATGAGGAAAATAATTGAATAGGGCTTAATGGGATATTGTTTCCCTTGAGCAATTCTGTATTTGTCACTAGAAAGAAATGTATGGGTACAAAAGGATGGGGCCATCTGCATATGACTGAAGAGTAATTTAGTTTTTAGAATAATTTAGATAAAAACTGATACGTTGGCCCTTTTGAGATATTGAAGTGAAAGGGATCAGTTGCATATGAATTGAAGCTCCCTGAGAGGTCTCGCATTTACCCTGTTTTTCACGTCTCCCTCCTCAAACGTTCTCAAGCAGATGTTACTGTTAGTACTTCATTGCCACTTGTTGGCGAAGATGGGCACTTCGCTGTGGAACATGTGGTGATATTGGGAAGTAAGCCGGTTAGGAAAGGAAACTTACAAGTGACCCAAGTGCTAGTTCAGTGGTGGCACACTAAACCAGAAGACGTAATGTGGGAATACCTGCCTTTTATTCAGGCTCAATTCCCTGATGCTCCAACTAATGCTCCTCAAAGTCATGAAATCCTTGCGGGCGAGGACTCTTTTTCTTTTTTCTTTTTTTTTTTTGGCGGGGGGGGGTGGTGGGGGAGTGTGTTGATATGTGTTAGCAGTAGCTTAAGTTAGTAAATACCTAGCTGGCTGGAAGTTAGACCCATAGCTAGCAAGAGAGGTAGGTAGATAGCTGGCAGAAACTAATTGATGTAGCAGACTTGGATTCTAGAAACTACAGGTTATAAATATTACCTCACGTGTACTTGGTTGTTCTGTTGAATTTCCGTCTATTCTCTCTTTCTCTCTCTTTTCTCCCTTGGCATAAGCCAAAAACAATATAAATACAATAGTTAAATAGGAGTAAGGCTATGTCGTGTAGGCAAATATTTTAACCCTTCATTTTACAGTTTAAGCCTTTGGCTGGTCTCTTGTACTCTGAGGAGAACCTGTTTTGAATGCTTGCCCTTATAGCATACTGTAAGAAAATATAGACTAATTGATTGGCATGAAAAGGGGTGAGCTACAACAAGACTTGAACCGTAACTAAGCATGAATTGTTAGTCAGTGTTGGTTGGATGGGAGCTACTTGGTATTAACTTTGTTGCGGCTGTTGTACAAGGGTATGTGATTAATATTGGCTCGTTGGATATTTCAACAAATGTTAATTATCTAGTTTGGTAATATGAACCTAGGTAATCATTGAAAGAGATTTACAGCTAAACATGATCATATATACCTCATGTACAAAAGGAATTGAATTGAATTTTATGAAATTTGGATTTTGTATTTAGAAAATAAATGCTACCTCCAGTCCTAAATATAGGACATAGACAAGGGTTTTACTTTCACAAATATATGACCTCAGTTGACTCTATCTCAAATTTATAGTTCTTTTTTCAAAGTATCCCCATTAATTGCACATAATAAGAGGCTTTCTATCAAATTTTAGTTATAAGGCACATGATTATAAAAGGTATTTTGGGAAGTCAATATACATTTGTTACAAATAAATAACTTCACTATTTTTTTTAATATTTGTAAATTAGTTATTTAATTCTTATATTAAGAATTGGAGGTAGCATACAATATATATTTAGGAAAAGCCAGAGAGAAGTTAAAGAGTAACTGTAAATAAAAGAAGTAGGCCTTTTCTAGATGTTTTTTAGATTATTGTAGATGATCTAAAGTCTGCTTTTATGTGCTGAAGATTTCGTTCATAAAAAAGTAAGTAATTACTCTAGGTTAAGCTGTATGCTCATCGTTTTCTAACTCCTGATATGCAGAGCTCTGCACTGGGATTTTTGCTTGCTCAGAAGCACTTTTCAAACCCACTCGTAGCTGTTCCTTCTGCCGTGAGTGTTGTTTGCATGGCGGTATGATATATTCCAATTTTTGTGCGAATGTGCAAATTATTTCATCGTTTCTTTGTTTGTCCAATCCTTGTTTTAGGATTAGAAATGTACGGATGACTTTATTTGTCACCATTGCGATGCAGCTTGGGGGCAGTGCTCTTGCTGTGTTTTGGAGGAACAGGCCAATTCCCCTTGATGATAAGGATGACTTCGAGGAATAATAATTTCTTGTTCATCCTAATTATTATTTCTGTGTCTTGTGTTATCTTTTAGAGCGGAGGGGAAGTTTCCATCATTTTGAATTCAGGAGTCGTACTATGTGACAAAGCTTAGAATTGAGGATCCATGAAACGGGGTGAGTCGCAATTATGGATATTATTAATATTCTATCTGGGATTAAGGTCCCACGTAGTTCTCCCAATTATGATTTTCATTCTTAGGATCTGAGAAATTTTGATTGGAGGATTATGTTTGACCCATTCTCCAATAATGGTTGTGCTGTAGCTGGGAAGGGGACCCTCTCTCAAGTTATCAATATACAATTTTCCCCCTTATTCATTATTTGGGTATGTCGAATCGGTTTGTATGTTAGATTGATATTAATTTTTCCTAGATGATCTTAAAAGACATTTCGTTTTTGGCAAAATGAACTCACAGTAATCCTTCACTAAGCACTTCACTCAAATCATCACTTGTTCTAACCGGTTTTTAATATAAGACCTAATTAACTAATTTGACTAGATTAAGGATGTTTGTTACTATGATATGTTTTTTCTAAAAACATTCGAAACATCTTTAATTCACTTTTTCTCCTTCTGACTTGATTATTGTTTAGTGAATATCAATGGGGTTAATCTGAAAAAAAATTGATAAATATGTAAAATAAGTCTTATAGATAGGACTAATATTAATTTACCAATTAGATTTTATATTAAGGACCTGAAAAATATGTAAATAATCATAGTGTATGATAAACAAATAGTTACTATTTTATTTTACTAGGGAATCAGTTACTGTCGTTATTTCGTTATACATTGTTACGTACCACTTTCTTGATAATGGAAGGATGATGTAGGAGTTTTTGGACGAATTGGACAGGGAGATTGCTTGTCTCCTTTCATATGATAAGGTTTTGGAATGGTTTAAAGTAATGTAAATTCTACAATAAACTAAATAAAATGAGAATTCTAATTAAGTTCAGTTGAAATACCAAAATTTAAATTCTAGTTTACATTTTTAATACTAACGAGAGTTAGATCTAGTCAAAGGAGTTAGTTCATCATGTGTCAAACCAAGTTTTGAATCCCTACCAAAAGAAGTGCTTACATTTAGTGTTTAAAAATGTCTTAAATAGGATTGTTTTTAATATGAGGATATCTATGCATAGCAAAAAAAGTATATACGTCTATTGAATATGAATTTCTAATTAGGCTAAGATGCTTAATTTGGAATCTTTGAAAGTTATTAAAGACCATGATCTCCCTCCATAGCTTTTTTTAAAAAAAAAAAAAATTAAAGGTAAGTATCTTCGTTGAATTTAATTGGGATTTTTTAAATAGATAAGGTGTTTAAATATCTTGAAAGTATCCATGAAGGAGCACTCAATATCTAGAAGTTTTCTGGCTTTTATATGTACTAGAAGTTTATTTTATTAGCAAAATACCTTACTGTTACCGTTAAAGTATGCAGTTTGACTGGTATTTTTAACAATCAAACTTAACGGCAAATAACGATTTAGAACAAAAATGTTACGAAATAAAACTTTTAGAATATATAAGAGAGAAAAAAATTTCCTGATGTTGGGTGTTCCTTTGTATACTTACTTCAATTTTTTATATACTTAAATTATTTGAGTATGTCGGATCAGTTTGTATGTTAGATTGATTCAGATTGTTTTATAATTAAAAATTAAAATTAATTTAAAGTCTTGGATAACTTTTCATTCCCATAAAGAATTATACAATAAAAATATTCGCGGAATTTAAATTGAATAAAAAAATTTGCATCATGTTGTTATCATAATTTAATTTAAATTTTAGATCAATATAGACTTGAAAAATTTATTATCATCCACAGAGTAATGACAAATCCAGGCAATCAAAGGATGGACAGCCGGGTCATTAAATATAGTCTGGAATGATTTAGAAGTTGAAACCCTGCGATCTATCAATAAATATTAAAATCACAACACAATATAATGAATTAAATATTTATCTATATCATAAATGGAATTGTATACTTAAAGATAAACAGACATTTGAATTTCTTAATAACGTGTTCGCATAGTT